AATAATTTTCTTAATTAAAATTTTAGAATAACTTTATTTTAATATATCATTGTAAAAATTAAAAAAAAATTATATTCAATTCGATCAATTTGATTTGATTTGATTTGATTCGATCAATTCGATTCAATTCGATTTGATCAAATATTTGATTTGATTTGATTTGACAAATATTTGATTCAATTTGATTTAATTGATCAAATTCAAATCGATTCAAATTGATTTGATTTGATTTTGAGGAACCCTAATCAACACTATGTACGATCTATTGAATGCTAACAGGTAACATTTTTTAATTTACTTTTTATTAAATACTAGCTATTAAATATGAACTACTAATAATTGCAACTCATCATAAATCAGAAGATCTCTTAACCTTACTATATAAAATCTTTGAAATTATTGATTCTACTATATTTTGGAATCAAATTATGATTATTAGTCAAATACTTAATCTATATTGTAAATTACTTAATATATTATAATGTGATAAAATACAGTTATTTTAAGTAGTATATAGTATGAGTTATTTAATTCAATTTTATCAAATTATTCAGATATTAAATTAGCTTTATGAATAATTAATTGATTAGAAAAGCGTTAGAAAGAATAGAAACAAACAATTCTTTTATTATCTTATTTATTACATCCTAAATATAAAATAATCAATTTAATAATTCAGTTTCTAATATTAATTATTCAGAATTTAAAAAAAAGTTTATGTATTATTATCATGCATAGTCTGACCAAGCATCTATTTGATTTTAATCATATAAATAATTTAATAATGATATTTGGCATTATTGGTGTTATATTATTGTTTCTACAAATGAATTGAATTTTATGGCTTGTAGAATTTTTGTATATGTATAAATGCTACTTTAGTTGAAAGACTATAGAACTGTATAGGATTTTTACAAATAAAATGTTGTAATCAATTATTCTAATTTTTTTAATTATATAATTAGCAAAAGCTCTTACAATGAGCAAACTAAAGGCTAATATTTATATACAACCATTATCTTCATGATGATTTATTATTTACTAAACCTACCATTGATATTAATAATACTAATCAAGATTCTGATAATCTAAATAATTTAGAAAATATTAATAATTTGGCTGATAATTTAATACTAATAGAAGAAGATTCCAGTTTTGAAGAATTAGATAAAGAAGCTGATGAATTGCAATCAGAAAATGACTTTGTTGAATATCTTTAGGATTGGATAGAGATGTTAAAAGAGGATTTTTATAAGGATGATAATAGTACATTAGAGAGTATTACACATTATAAAGTAATAAATTTTATAAAGTTTTTAATCGGTGTCACGTGATTATGAATGATAAAATGTCCGGGATGTAAATTTTCCGGGTAACCGAATCACGTGATACCAGTATTGAATAAATATCATGGGACTTTAAAAAGTTTAAAGTTTACGACGTCATCTCGATAAATATTTTCCCCCCAAAATGATATTTGGAATTGGAATTGATATTATCCATTTACCGCGTATTAAAACTCTATTAACGCGTAGACCGACGTCCCTTTTACAATTTTCTAAAAGAATTTTATCAGATAGAGAGCTGAAAGAATTTAATGAAAGAGATGCGCTCGACAATAATGTTAAATTTCTGGCTGTTAGGTAAAGGAATTCATTATTTTTTTTTTTTTTATTTAAAAACAAATATATATATATATATTTTTTATACATCGAATTTTCATTAGATGGACTTTAAAAGAAGCGGCTTATAAAGCTTTATTTCCTTATCATCGTATGACGTGGAAAGACGTCTCTTTAAATAAAATTGAAGGCAACTAAAATTAAAATTAATTGAATAATTTAACTTTAATTTTTTATTTTTAATTTTGATAACTCTTACTACATATTTAGGAAAACCGCAATTAATTATACACGAACAAAAAGCAATTAACATTAGTAACGTTCATTCTTCTGTTTCACATGATGGTGAATATGTCATCTCGCAAGTTTTAATTGAAGGTACAACTAAATAAAAAGTTTTAAGCTTCAAGTAGAATTTCTCCCATTGGACCGAATTCAATTAACCAATGAAATGAATGGTTAAAATTACAAATTTACATAAATAATTTGATAAACATAGTAGTTGCAGGATTATTTTTATTTTTGAGGATTATGGCTACTGCTAAAATTGCAATTGAACCAACTGACTTTAGAACTGCTGCCATAACACAACATTGGAACGACCCACCGCAAAAAGTACCTTTTTTTCTTAACTGGACAATCAGACGTGGTTTATATAATATTTTAAATTTTTTTTTTCTTCCTTGCAACTCAAAAATATAGATATTTCATAAAGATGAAAATGATCATAAGCAACTAGATTCTTCTCAAGTTTATTTTATAATACAAAATATTCTAGAAATTTGTAAGGAAAACGCAAAGGTAATAAATTTTCACCTTATCATTAGAACTTTGTAAATTAGATTCAGAAATATTTTTTTGAGAACTAGTTACCATTTACAAATTATTTATTTTATTTTAATTACGCCTTTGATAAGTAGAATTCTGATAAAAAGATTATTCTTGATACCGAAAAAAGATTAGAAACTTTATATGAAAAGTTAGAAAGTAGACAATTATCTGATTCCGTACTTGGCAGATTAGGTAAATTATGTGAATGTAAGTGTCAAATCTTTCAAGGGTAATAAATAATATTAAAGTTGTACGGTAATTAAATTTTTTTATTTTTGTAGATTTGGAATTAAAGGATTTAAATAATTCTATTACAATTCATGGAAATTTAATGACTACAGATTTTGATAAAGAAGGCAAATGGTTATTAGGAATCAAGAGATTATTAGATTTATATCAAAAAACTTTAAAATAATATAATTCTTTCGAATAGAAAAAAAAAATTTTATAGACTTATTTAGACCAAGGATATTATTTTATATCTATTAATATTAATTAGTTTAATTTCATTTGCGTAATTAATTCATGTTTTTTTGTTTTAAAACAAAAAAAAAAAAAAAACTGGAAAATAGAAACATTAAAATACGACGCGTAATTCAAAAAGATTGTTTCTTAATACTTTTCGTTTTTGTCTTATTTATTAATTTACTAAAAAGTTCCAAAGAAACAACATAATTAAAAGAGAGAGAAAAAAAATTTTTTTTAAACATAATTGTCCATGGAAACAAAAAGATTCTGCCTAAAAACCAGTTCAGAATTCTTTTTCTATCCAAAGAAAAGTAAATATAAATATAAATATATCTACTCGAAAAGTATTTTAAAAAATTTCCCTTAATGATTTCAATTCTCTTTTTCTTATAAACATCTATGTTTATTAATCTATTTATATATTTTATATTTATATAATCTCAAAAAATCTCTGTAAAACTATTATTATAGTAATAGATTATTCATCATTTTTCTTTTTCTTAATTTCTTGAGATTTACCACCGTCACTCTCAGATAAACGACGCTTTTTTGAATTACTCTCAGCACCCTCAGATTGTAAATCTCGATCATGATCAGAATTGGTATCTTCCATATCCTCCTCATCACTCATTGGTATATCAATTCCTCCATGATATCCCCCAGGAATAATTTCACCTGGCAAATCATTATAATTCGTTAATGTAGGAATGTCTAAACATCCCGTTACTTTTTGACAATAATTTAACATTCCCGTTTCGAAATTTCTGACAGAATATTTTGTAGCCAAATTTTCAAGATGTTCCTCGAGTTTTCCCTTAACATTTAAGAACTATTAAAATAAATAAATAAATAATTTAAGTTTTTGTTTAAAAAAATAAAAAAAAAAAAATGCAAATAAAATTTATCACAAACCTCTTCCATTCTGATCTTTTTCTTTTGACGAAATTCATCTAAATATGCCGTACGTTGCCATAATAAATAATCATCGGCACGGGTTGCAGCAAACTGAGGATCATCATCATCACTTTCCGAAACATCCGAATGGTAATCAGATGGATCGATATCACCGTAAGAGAATATTTCCAATAAAGTATCCATTGAACTATAAGAGTCGCAAAGATAACATTCGATCGCAGCTTGTGTTAACAAGTCCAATAATAATGCATACCACGTTTGACTAACGGTCATTGATTCATGATGTTCGAAATCAAGTTGCTCATGAGCCAATCGATATGTTATCGCACTTGTATTGAGGAATACAGGAATCGCATCAATCAAACCCGGAGCTGTTCGACGCGTTGGAATTGGTTTAGGTGGTGTACTACGTCGCCTTGACATTGGGGGAGTGATGCTTGAATTTTTTGGATGTTGCTGACATGCCGTACATATACTTATTCTATGTTTTCGACACCTTGATAATAGAGCATTTTTGAAATGTTTCCCGTACTTGGAGAGACATGTTGGTAATCTATGGATACGTTGTTTCTGAGATTTCTGAGGTAAATGATTGTTATTTGTCGTTGTGGTTGTCGTCGTTGCCGTTGTCGTTGTCGTTGTCGTTGTCGTTGCAGTTGAAGTTGCCGCTGTCGTCGCATTTATCGGTGAAGTAGATGTAGGATTAGATTTAGGTTTTGATATTTTTGTGGGGTTTTGGGGTTGTGACCCAGACATGGAAAAATGAGTCCGATCAAATACCAGGTGTAACAATTGACATAAATATAACCGATGTTTAAGTGATAAAGGTAATAGCACGGAAGAAGCTTGAGTTCGATGAGATTGTAATAAACCTTCAACAATGGCTTCAACTCCTTGACCTTTTTTATAATTAAATGAAGAAGGTTGTTTTTCACCTTCTGCGATACCTCTTAATTCAGTTTTAGCCTGATCAATTTTCGCATTAATTGATAAGAATAAGAGATAATCAAGGATAACATTTGTCGTCGTAATTTGTGCACCATGATTCGAATGATTCGAATGATTTGAATGTTTCGTATGATTCGTATGATTCGTTAAATGTTCTGAAGTGTTGATAAGAGGTGTATGATATTGATTTGGTTCTTTTAAGATATTTTGTGATATTAAAGGTTGAATTTGTTTTGGCATTGATGATAAAGTTGTGGTATTTGCTATCCTAACGGATGTATTTACAGGATGTGAAAGAGTTTGGGTTGTAGAACCGTTAACGTTCCCGTTGTTAGTACGACCCATACTCAAAATAATTTTTTTTTTTACAGCTAACTTAAAGAAATCGATAAAAATATTAAAGTGTTAGAAGGTAGGTAATATAACGTAAGACTCTTAAGCAACTAACTCGAATTATGTAAAAATAAGGTTATTTGAATTCCGTGTTTAAAAAAGATATGCGACAGTTTGCTGCGGTGAATTTTTGTAAAGTGCTATCTTTATAATGATCGAAGAGTAAAGGAAAATAAAAATAAAAATATTACTCTCGTTAAAGAAAAAAAATTTATAAGATTCAAAAAAGGTTTATTTTTTTTTCTTGACAAATGAGAAAAAAAATCAAAATCAAAATAAAGACGAGAATTGATCAATTTATATATTTTTTTTGTTTCTTTTTCCGTTTTTTTATTTATTTATTTTTTTTTTTTTTATTATTATAGTTTATTAGTATATTATTAGTTTATTGGTATATATTACATAAAAAAATTATTAAGTACTTTGAAGATTACTTTATCAGTCGACAGATATGGTCAATTACAAGGGAAATCTCGTCATCTGAATTTTTAAAAATGGCTACACTACTTATTATTATATAAAATATAATGGATTAGTATAAAAGCTTAAAGGAATAATTCGGAAGTTTCGGAAACTATTTTTGACAAAAATCGTTATCCGCGCATCTATCCGTGAAAATGTTGAAAATGTTGAAAAATAAAATAATCCAGAAAAATCGGATAAGAAATATGTACAAAAAAATTTGGTAGAGGAACTACAGAACTAAATGTATCATACGATTCTTTAAGCAACGTATAAGAGATACAAGTTATAAAAAGTTTATTAAAGCCACAACAACAAAGGGCAACAAGATAAAAAGCTTGTTGTTATGAACATAATCGGAAATCTTTTTTTGTGTACATTGAAAAAAAGAAAGATGGTAATACGAACCCGCGGTGAAGAAGTTGGGGTGTTTCAAAGTAAATTAGTAACGTGGAACTTTCGATTGGTTGACTCCACATTTAAACTGACTAAATCCGGAAGAAAGAGGATGCAAAACACATATGTACGGAAAGAGCGCGTATCACCTTTTGATATCAATTTATTAATTCCAAAGCATTGATAAGAACTTCCCCAGTTGTTTGGAAATACTACATTATAAAAAGTGATATGCAATACAGTAAACAAATCGATTAATTTGTTAATTCTTGATCAAATTTGTACTAGACTTGATTTAAAAGCAGAAAATTTGATAAAAGTATGTCTTTATCTGATTGCATACCTAATTAATAATATTTTGATGAAATCATCCAAGATTTTGTTGTCAATCTAACAACAATAACAACAACAACAACAACAACAAAGGACAATGTGATTAAATGGTTGGTTGCAATTTTGAAAAAAAAGAGCTAGCCAATTCGAAAATGTTTGATATAATGCATCTGTTAACGAAAATGTAGACGAAAAGAATCGCCTAAAATCGCCGCGAACTTACCCTTGTAAATAATTATTCGGCAACTTTCAAGTTTTCTATTTGGAAAAGGTTTGTGATGAATATTTTCACTAAATATCTGATATATGTTCACTGATAAATTTCCGAATAGCTTCGATCAAACAAAAATCGCGTAATCATTAATAATATGTGTACCCTTTGTTATTGATTGTGAGTTGTGCCTATTTGCATGTAATCTCCACCCGTCGTTTTCCATTTCGTGTAACTGAACGAATTCTCAAACGGTTTTTGTTCGGTGTGTCTCACATGGGTATTTTTAAAGTAAATGTACTCTGTCGATTCGATCATATTTTAATAAAGATAGCGCGAAAATATTCAATTTACTACGCCATAATTATCGCTGTGCTACTACAATACATTATAATCTATCATGATTTTGTTGGAAACAACTAAGCAATAATGATTCATTTAGTTCCGAAATATTCCACCATACATTATTTTTTTCGCGAATTAATGTCATGTTGTGAAAGAATGTTTGCATGTTTCATGATACCTGAATGTTCAAAAATAAATTTACCCACGCCTTCTAACCTTCATTTGTTTCTTTTTATTTTCTTTTTTACCCACGATATCAATAACCCCTCTTTTCTCCGCATATATATTTTTTCCTTTTTTTAAAAATTTACTTCTTATTTGGTTATTGTAATGCTGCCCGTGCTTTTAAATTTGAGGCTTAACGATCTTCTGTTTAATCAAAAAAAAAACAAAATAATTACAGAAGATCCGATAAGAGAAATATTCTTTTTTTTTCTTTATTGTGATAGATGATAGAATTTTGAAAGAACGGAGATAACATATACGATTATATGAGATTGTACATCTTAAATTTCCGTTTGTATTGCCTCAATAACTGATAAGGAATGTGTGACAGACGGAATGCGTGGCGTAGTAATATCAGAATTCAGTTTCCTCGATGTGAAAGACACAAGTAAAAATGCAGCTCTTCGGAACCAATTGACAATTAAACTAAAATGGGAAATCATCCAGAACCTTCTGCGATAATTTCGGGCGCAGCAGCCTTTATGAAAATTACTCGTATTTGATTCTCAATCAATTGAAAATCCGAAATGAATCTGTCTAATAGATAAGATAAAAGCTATATTTTCAATTTGAGTTTTTTCCCTATCAAGACTCGGTTTAATACTTTGCATGTGCCTAGTGAAAGGCGTGAATCGATCGTGATGAACACATATTTCTCAACATCCTTTCTATTACAAGAAGCGCTAACTTTTTTTTTTTTTTTGTTACGGATTCAAAACTCCGATTTCTATTATCTGTCATGTCAAACATTTCGTCATGAGGTTTTAAAAAAAAAGTTTTTTTTTTTTCTTTCACCATTGATAGAATTGTAAACGGAAATACTTAATCTTTTAAGGGTTTTTATAATCAAATTATCTATAAATGGAAGAAATGAGTTAGGTTTTGGAAAAAATCAAGGGTTACTATTATAACATGACTATTTGATCAATTTGATCAACAAAAAAATGAACCAAAGTGATCAACAAAAAAAAAGATCGATTCGTCTCATTCGGTCATAGAATTCGTCATTCATGCTTCTAACCTAATTCGTTTTATTTTATCATTGAGATATTACAAAGACACGTTTTTAAGATGTCACTTTGTGTAATTTGATGATAATTCACGTGAGAAATTATTTTGAATCTATGTTAACTAAAAATTTAAATTATGTCAAACAAATCATTCCGCGTTATATCATTTAATGTAAATATTACATCTTTATATGACGCGAAAATTTATTGCCATTGCCAGTAATTATTAGTTTATTTATTTTAATATATATATTTTTTTTATTTTGTATATTTTATGATTCTAATTATATTGGCATATAAAAAATCCTCAAAAAAGAAAAATATTTCTCGTGCTAAAATCAACAACTTGTGATTTTGTTGCATCAAATTTTGATGATCTTCCATCTATTTTACACGCCGATCCAAATATTTTGCGACTCGCACTCGAAAATGGTGAATTCCGAAGAGAAAATTTATGAACTGGTTGTTCGTTGGGCAAATCATTCGTATCTTTAGATTCAGATACATCATCATCACGAAAATTCAACAAATACTCAGGTTGAAAAAGGTTTTACCACCATCATCTTCAACATCTACATCAATACTGAAAATTTTGAAGATATTCAAATTATTGAAAACATCATGAATTAAATAATGAACTAGCGGATATACATACAAATCGATGATTCCAATAAATTTCCAAAGTCTTCAGCACTTCCTTCCTTCCTTATTGAAATGTGTTCGATTTCCTGTAATGATATATTTTCGAAAAAGTTGAAGGGAATCCTTTAGGACATTATTGGCAAGATCTTTGTAGAGAAAAGAGGAGCAGATGGGATGAAGGATTTGGAATTAAAATTCGAATTTAATTTATCATTATTTCCCCTCTCTTATTTCTTTTTAGGTGATAGAAGCATATCGGCATCTTTTGATGCTTGAGGTTCCTAATTCTGATTCTGTCGAATTTTTCAACACGTGAATTTGTTAGGCATTTAATTTATTATTAAAATTCGTAGGATTAATTTTTTTATTTTTTGAATTGATAAAGTTCTTGAAATAAATTATTTATATTCCGTGAAGTTCCTAACCCGGCCATTATTAATAGTTGACTTAATGAATTGAAAATATCTCGAAATATGTTCTGTCCTTAGAGAGTGAAAAATGTAATCATTTGTGCGACAGTTTTTTTTTTATTTTGATGATTGTTTCGGAACCAATAATGATTTTAAGTTTGTATTACAGAGTGTGTTTTCCGATACACACATAGTATAAAAAATCATGAGGGTGAAACTTTATTAATGATATTTCAAAACAAATTCAAATTTTTTGCATGCGCACAAAAATTTTCTCATTATTTACGTTTATAAGATTAACGTTAAATTATTCATCACTTTCATCTTCAATATCACTACCATCCCAATCTTCCGGATTTTTTTTTCCTTAAAACATTTAATCCACTCTTGACAATCTTCAGGAAATAATATGCTTGCATTTTCGTTTGCTGATATTGACTTTTTCTCTTAGAATCACAAGGATAAACAACAACCAATCTTCATATTACAATCAAACCAGTTCTGTTCTTTGTTGATTTTACATAACTTAGCATTAGCTTCAGGAGGATTATAATTATGATTCTTTATCATAGTCATTTTCTTAACTTGACCTGAACGTTAAGAATATAGGATTTTCGTTCTTCATATCATTTTCTGCTCTTGGAAGAAAAAACAATTGAAAATATCAGGCCCTGCCGTATTTTGTGGGTAGCATATTGGGCAAAATCCTTTAGAAACGTTCCCCATTCTGCTACCGCTCTAAGCCACTCATCAGCTGTAGTAGATTCTACAGCTATCCGGCCCATACATTTATCACCATATGGGAGCTTGTCAATAGGAAGGGAGGAAATCTAAAAAAAAAAAGTTTTATGAGTTATTGTTAAATCGACTTATTTTACTAAAAAAAAAATCATATTTAGCATATGAAGTAAAATTTTAATTTTTTTTAGATTTCCTTGACAAGCTCCCATATGGTAACAGCTGGGGTGGTCTTTCAAAATCTTCAGGAAGGTAATAATTTCTTCTTTTTTCCCTTTTTTCCCTTTTACAAGAAACATTTTACTTTCAGATAATACTGTATTGCTTCAAAGAGTTACGCAAAAAATTTACAACACACTTCTCCCAAATAAGTCCTGGCATTACCGCGTTAAAATTGACTTGCGACATCAGCAGAAACCACATGTCATTTGAATTTTTTTCAAAGTAGTTGAATCCAGCTTGAATTACAAGAGGAGAGGCTCGTCAATGATGCTTGTAAATTTTGAAATGTTTTTAATATGGGCAAAACCCAAATACATAATAATGTCCATCTCTTTTCGCTAATTCTAATGTGGCAACACTGTTAATATAGGCAGGTCGCTCAGAAGGATATTTTTCCAAATCTGCAAAGCCCGTGTAGATCCTATATTCTTTATTTGGTAAACTATCAGCACTGGTTGTAAGATTATTAATGAGATTTTTTAGCTGTTCTTCAGGATCGAAAAGCTCAGACTTAATGAGATAATATATCCATATCCACGACCAACCCAGTTAAGAAACTAAACTGAAAAAACTGAAAAAGATCAAATTCAGCAAATCGTCATGACATTACCTTTAACCATTTAATCGCAGTTCTTCTTCTCGTGGAAATATACTCTTTGCCAGTTCGAATAATTCATTTGAGGTTTCAATTCGACCAAACTGATTAAAGGTTGGAACACTATAGATAATGGAAATATTAATTAAGTTATTCAAAATCACTGGGACTGACAGGATTAACTTACTGTAATTCCTCCTTTCCCCTTGAGGAATCATCTCTTGCCCGCAATAATGATAGGCCAGATCCCGTTATGCAAACAATTGCTCCTGTAAATGAATAACATAAACTTGATAAAGACCGAACCACTACGGAGAAAAACAGCCTTACCCTCTCTTGATTAAGTCGTGCAGAGGGAGCCTCATAATAGACGATTGGAAAGAATTACGTAAATTTGTTTTTAATGTACTCCATGGAATTGCAATACAATCTAATGCTGGCATGATCTGTCACATTTTGAAATATTAAATACAGGTCTTTAATGATATTATGTCTGAGCTGAAGAATTAGCCAAGATTTAGGCGCCATTATAGCGTTATGTTGTGAAAAAGGTGTTGAAGCAAGAGCAGTCGTCCAACAATGCAACTCATTACTGCCCACTCTTCAAGGTTTTCTGCTTCTTTAGGTTGTTTGTTTTCGATATTATCTTTCGTCCAACGTGCTGCAAGTTCCAATTCATTAGAGCCAATATTATATGTATAAGCAACTAAGTATAGGCCATAATTCTGGTATAAAGCTTCAAAACATAAGCGAGTTTTGCCACAACCGAAGGTTCCAAGAACAACAGTTGTACCACTGCTTGCAGAATTTTCTTTTTATGCTTTTTAAAAGAATTATTATCAGTAAGGCCTTTTTCACCCTGTTCGGGGAGGTTATGCAGAAGCATCGGAATACTTTTCTCATCAATGAATTTTTTGTAAATATTTTTTGTCTGGTGCCTTAAAATGTACTGTAAATACGGGTCATACGCAACATTTACTAGGTCCCGAGAATTCTGAATAAATAGTGACTTAGCTCACTAATTGCATTTTTAATTGATACTGCATAATATAGTAAGTTTTGATATTCGATATTATTGCAGATCGATAATGAGAAACATAAAAAGTTAAACCATGTTGCATCAATGTGTTTTTTTAGGCGGATTTGACGAAAAGAAGCAGGAAAAAAGCACAAAATTAAGTAAGTATTTGGTATGAATATGACAGTGAAAACGAATCGTAAGAACATACCAGATCCAGATCCTGACTTCTTTGATAGCGCCCTTAAGTATGAAAGCTTAGCATAGTTGCTTGGGCAGGACATAAGCAATTTCTCCACAACAGATTTATTAGTATCCTTGTCGGTGAGATATTCAAATAAACAAAACAGTTCTTCTTCGTTTAATGCATTAGTTTCTTTAGCAAGGCTGTTGACAATATCAAGAATTTGTGTCGGTCGGTTGACGTGTTATTTAACTAATGTCTTTATCAAAATGCAATATGATGTATTTAACTAATGTCTTTATCAAAATGCAATATGATGATCAATCAATAACAAAAAATTGCAATTATTGTAAAATCACGTGATTGATACGGGTGCCATTCAAAACAAACTAATTAGTAAAGCCAGTTTAATTTAAATAAAATAAATACATTTAAAATTTTAAAAATAAAAAAAAATATACATCATGAAGATAAGATATAATATATATAATATATACGTAAATAAGTATTTATTTTTTACATGGTAAATATAGAGTTCATGTCCATTGGATGAGATCTAAGTAAAATAAGTTTATTAAATAACTTTGATCACAAAAAAAAGAAAGAAAGAAAGAAAAGAAACTTACGTGCTAAGTTGGGGCTTTTGAGCATATTTAGCTTTGAGAACATCACGAATTGAATTCAATAATTCTTGATATGTGGGATTTGGATTCAATCTCAATCTATAAAATAAGATAAACCAATTTGAAATATGACAACAAAGATAATAATAAAAGAAAAGATATATATATTTACGATTTGACCAAAGCATGTGACATTGCACCGGTTGCTTCACCTGCTTCTTGTGCATCAGCAGATGTTTGCGTATCCTTACACCCACTAAACATGATTATATCAGCGGGACTTGATTTTGTTTCAATGTTCTTAAAACGAAGTTTTTGATGCTTAGCAGCGGTATCCTTAAGTCCTTTTATAGTATCTAAAACGCCTTTTCCACTTTTAAAATAATTGAAACCTGCATTTAAAAGGTCCCTCCCTCCCAAAGAAAGGATATTTGTTTCTTTGATGACACCACGAGTGGAATAGATATATGGCAAATCCAATACTGTTCCTGAATGACAACAGTCAAAGATGACGGTCAATCTTACTCCTATATATAAAATTTTACATTTTAGTTTACACATTATTTAAAAAAAAAAAAAAAAAATTCTCAAGAATTACCTGCTGGAAGTGGCGCGACCATCAAATTGTGTAATTCGTCATCAATAATTTGTCCATTTATCTCAAAATCAAGGGGCATGATGGTTTCATCAAATCCATCTTCTTCTTCTCCGGATTCATCTACAAGTTGACCTCCATGACCACTAAAATGGAAAAAGAATCTAAAAAAAAATTGAGATTTAATTAATTTATGATTTTTATCATGGGCCAATTATTTTAACACTTACGAATCGTTTGCTTTTGGATCGTGTACAAGCCATTTAATAGCATTAATAATATTTTCTCTTGTTGGAATTAACGTTGGATCCAATCGGCGGTTAGGACTATCCGTCAACACTTTCATATTTGATTCATCGTATCCATAGCTTTTCGTTATAAACTCTTTAATGTTTTTGACGTCGTTGAAACATCCTTTTGTAAGGAAAGCAAAAAAAAAAAAAATTAGAATCTGCTCAGTTAATAAAGTTCATGATTAAGGACAATTTTATAAATTACCTCCTAATTGATACCGGGTATTAACATAATTGATTCCAATTAAAACAGCTCTTTTACGTCCTGTGCAATTCGAGACTTGATAATCAACTTTTTCGGTGGGCTTAACAAATAAACTAAATTCATCAGGTAAATTTTCTGGGGCATCTTGTTTATTATAATGTACTCTTTTAATTTGACCATGAGAAGGTAAAGTACTCGCTTGAAAGTCCTTAAAGAAATCACTAGAAAATGGATCTTCTCTTAAAGGTTTATCGCCAACTTTATTACTACTACTACTACTAGAATAATATGAAGTAGTCGTTGTGGTGGTGGTTCCGTCTGGCGAAGAATAAGTATGTGTTTCGTTATGAAATGACATGTTAATAACTTGAATATTTGTTTTTAAAAGAAATTGTCCATCTTTTTATACCAAAATTTACAATATTCATTTTGGTCATAATTGTGCCACTTTTCCAAATACATAATCAATGTGACCATCACCTGCTTATCCCATTTTTTTTTTTCAAAAAAAACTTGTTTAAAGATTTCCTCACGAAAAGGTTTCGAGAATTCCTTTAATTGGCATGTTACAAATAAAGAATTAAAAGGTCCTCCCCAATAATTTATCACGTTTTTTTGTTTTTTATATCTTTGGTCAGTTAGAGTGTGTCATACGTTACTAACAAAGGTCATCTTTTAATAGTTCGCGATTGATCTCGGTAAATTCGGTAAATCCGTTTGTAATACAAATTCAATTTAAAATTTTTTTTTTTCTTTTCTGTTGGAATTATTTTTTCTTTGTGAAAGGCTCGAAGTGATTTATGTAACATGTGAAAAAAAGCGAATAAAATGCATGCCAAAAAAACGCGCTATTGAATTATTTTTTTTAGGTAAAATGCATAAATAAAGTTTGTAACGAATATTCTCAGTTTTACGCCGAATGAAGATCAAATAAATAAAATTGATTTATGTAACAAACAGATTTTTTATTCGGATCTTCTCAAAAGGCTAATGTATCACAACCTAAACTCGGGCATTTTGAACCTCGGGGGCTCATATAATTTTCATCCCGAATATGGTTTTAATACAATTTATTAACATGATTGATGTCAATATAATTTTTTAAGCTATGTTACTCTGATTTTGTTTTTATCAAATCCATTTCTCCAATGGTTTTATCAGTTAACGTTAAGCTTTGAAAAGATCCGACAAATAATAAAAATTCTTTTTTGTTAGGTAAGTTACACGACTAGAAATTCGTGTGACGGTGATAAAAGTACATCACCCCGTGTTTAAATAACATCTCGAATCGAAAAAAACCATGAAATATTTTATTCAATTTGCTCAATGTACGTATATCGCTCCTTTCATAATAAATTTCTACTACTTTCTAATTATTTTTTCTTAAATTAGCTCATGAAGAATTTCGATTACCCGAACTTGAATCTTTAGCAAAAATCGAAAATGTGAAGATATCTTATAATAATGAAGAATATAGAAAAAATGTAAAATTTTCACATTATTTATGTAATTAATATTAATTAATTAATTAAATTGATTTAATTGTAGTGTCCTTTTTTGATCGTTGACATTGATACAGAAAAAGAAGCTACTCAACTTATCAAGAGAGCAATTCTAATAAGGTAATTGATACAAACCTTTATTAAATCTTTGAATTGTATTAATATTTATTTGATTAGGAATATATATGAATTATGGGGAGTGGGAAAAACATATGAAGAAGTTCACACCCAAGTAAAATCAAAACCCGAAAGATGGGTAAGATCCATTTTGATTTTATCTAAAATTTTCAACTTCACATGTATCTTTAATACTTATTATTCGACCTTTAATGTTAGTCACCATATGATTATAAATCATTTAAATTTTTGGTATCGGCATTTGGATCTACGTGTTCGTCAGATTATCAAGTCAGAATAATCAATTCCTTTGCATATTTAGGATTTAAAGGTGATATTGATTTAAAAAACCCGGAAGTTCAATTTGGTGTATTAGAAGATTATAGATTAGATCCATATTTAAATTTGCCTCCGTCAGAACCTTACACGATATATTTCGGAAGATTGGTATATTTCACGTCATTTCATGCTATTTTTATTCGACATATTAATTCGATGAATTTTGAACACGATAGGTTGCGTCAGGGAACCGTGATCTTATTCAAACTTATAATTTGAAAAAACGAAGATATATAGGGAATACATCTATGGACGCTGAATTATCATTAATTATGGCCAATCAAGCATTGGTGTGTAAAGTTCAATTTTATTCACGTGAATTTTTATAAAAATGAACTTCAACAAATAAAAATAATATCTTTTATAGGCTGCGCCGGGAAAATTAATTTATGATCCATTTGTCGGTACAGGCAGCTTTCTCCTAACTTGTGCACAATTTGGAGCCTTTACAATGGGATCTGATATAGATGGAAGACAAATACGTGGACAAAGTAAATTTTTTACAAGTAATTTAATTGTGCAAACATTAAAAAATATTGTCTAATCTCAGATAATCATTTTTTGGTCAGCTAATAGGTCTATAAAATCTAACGTGGAACAATATAATTTAAATAGAAAAGTTTTGGATACATTAGTATTTGATATATGTCATCATCCATTGCGAGATAATCTTTGGTTTGATTCGATTGTAACAGACCGTAAGCATATATATATAACTTCTCTTAATGGAATGTAGTATAATCTTATATGAGAAATTTAATCTTATATTTGTTAATAGCTCCGTATGGTGTTCGGGCCGGAGCAAAAACTTTAGGAAGAAAATATCCACTTAAACGACCACTAACGCCTAAATTACTTGATGGAATACCAGCACACAAGTAAGAGTCATTACATATACAATTTAAATAAATAAATATATACCAAAGTGATATTTTTAAAATGTTTTAGGAGGGAAGATTATTATCCACCAACAAAACCTTATGAAATGTCAGAAGTATTATCTGATCTTTTAGATTTCGCTGCGAAATATTTAGTTGTTGGAGGAAGATTAGTGTATTGGTTACCAACAGTTGTAGATGAGTGTGTATTCTTTATTAACATTTTCCTAAGCTATTTGCATAGTAATATTTATAATTGATGTGACATATAGGTATTCAAATGCAGATTTACCTGAACACCCATCAATGAGACTCATATCAAATAGTGAACAAAATTTTGGAAAATGGGCAAGAAGATTGGTTACGATGGAAAAATTTAAGGAAAACATTATAGGTGAACATGCAAATGTACATAACGCAAAAGGATTAGATAATATTTCCTTTGTATATCATAGAAAAGATGATGTCTCTAACGAGAAGGCACATAGTACCAATGAAAAGGGAAAGAAAAAGCTTGGACATTATTTATTCAGAGAAAAGGTGAGAGGCTTTGTTTTATGTATTTTAGGTGGATAAGTTAAATTTAAATTTAATATCATGTATTTCTTTTAAAAAAAAAACTTGTGATACAGTATTTCTCTTTGAAATCCGAAGAAAAAATTAATAGAGAACAAACTTGGACGAGATATAAAAATCAAATTCAAAATGATGATGGTAATCATACCACTGCACCATCATCATCATCAACAACAACAGAAATTAAGTCTTGTGATAAATCTTCTAAAGAAGGAAACAATACATAGATTACAGATACACAAAAAAGTAGATCGTTTTCGCAACATTAATAATTCATACGCGTTTATAAATTACGCCTTCACCTTTTTTTTATACACTTTGTATGATCTTTTAAAATAATATTTTGTTGTGAGTCAAGTGGTGAGAGGCTAATGATGCTTTTTTAAGTTATTTGGAAAAATATCTCTTAATTAATAAATCGTCCTTGTTATTATTTAAACTAATAATGGCCTGATAGTCAAGCATGCATCTTCCTTACAGATTATTTTTGGTCTAAGGAAAATTTTTTGAAATCTTCCACTCATTCGTGTGATCATCATGTGGTTAATTTCTGTAATGCCTAATGCCGGCCAACTTCACGTGACTAAATTTTGTTTACACTTACACGTGACATGTTGCCATCGTGAAACGTAATTCGCATCTCTGAAAAAAAAAATTAATATATATAGATCATTTAATTTCACCGACAATTCGTGAATTGGATCTAACGACCCTTCAACTAATTTATATTAGGTGGGTATAACACAACCAATCTAACAGATCATGTTATGTATTTAATTTGCCTATTGAACTATTGACACTTTATTTTTTTCCTTTCAGAATCTATTTAATTTACTTAATGGAAGAGCAAGTAGAACAAGCGGTAGCTTTTGCATTAAGTCCCACGGCAGATCAAAGCCTGAAAAATCAGGTTGGTAGTTGGAAATCAAAGAATCCTCTGGTACAATTGGTTCGATGTTAACAGATAGTTTGATAATTGTTATGACGCGTAATACTGTTAAACCGAGTGAAAAACTTGAAAAACTGAGAATTTCCTTTGTCAGTTTTCTTTATCAATTGATTCTTAATTATTCTTTTTAACTTCCATATTTTTTTCGAATCGATCATAATAAGAGTAATGATAATGATAATGATAATAAAAAAAAAGAAAAAAAAATTCTAAATTTCTAATCAATGGACCTAATGATATATATGTTTTCTCGTTTGTTGATTTAATTATGATATCGATTGTATTATAGGCTATCAATTTTTGCGATCAAGTAAAGGCATCTCCCGATGGTTGGCATTTATGCTTATCTTTGTTCGTAAGGTTTCCAAAAAGGTTGGTGTGTTCATTGTTTTTACACACTGACCTTGCATTTTGATTTTATATAAAACAAGTTGAGTTTAGAATAGATACTATTATTATAACTTATTCTTAATTAACATCATAGTTACCTTCCATCCTCCCTCATTTAATATAATATATGTGCAAACTATTTATATCGAATTTTCTCTCATTCAGTACACCAGAGGCTCGTTTGTTTGCTTTACAAGTTCTGGAGGATGTGATGCAAAATAGGTATACCGAACAAACAATGATATAATATCATCCAACATGCCAATTTCTTTAAAAAATTACTTATTTTGATTTTATAATATTCAGATTTTCTAGTCTTAACAAATCACAAGTTATTCAGATTCAATCCACATTAATGGAATTCGTTAAACGAGAATATGTGATTGGAGAAGGCAGTGGAGTTGACCTTGGTGCCGAACCATTATGTTAGTTATTCTTAAATGAGATACTTTGTAAAATGTTAATTTTTTTTTTTACAAAATTTCCTAAAATATACGAATTCATATTTTTTTTTTTAATCAGACCTGAAGAACAAATTTGCCCACACTTTAACTCTACTTTTCATTCAGCTGTATCCTTCGGATTGGCACAATTTTTTCGATCAGTTTCTGGAACTACTTCTAACAAATACGGTGAATGGAAGCAAGACAAATATTCGTACAGTAGATATTTTTTTGAGAATTTTAATGTCAATCGATGAGGAAGTTGCAAATATAGTTGTTCCGAGAGGAAAAGATCAGGCTCATAGAAATACAACGATCGTTTGTATTCTGCTATTTTTTTATCGTATATTTTCTTCATTTTTGCAAGAATATTTGTTAATATGATTCGAAATAATCTCTTGCCAGAAAGACAATATGAGATCAGGCGATATACAAAAGCTCACATCTACTTGGTATGAAATATTGAGTGATTATCGTGTTCGAAATCCAGAGATTGCCGAAATGTGTTTAAAAGTCATCGGTCTTTACATTGGTAAATTACATTATTTTGTTTTCTTTAAAAAAAAAAGAAAAATGGGATTTTTAATGATTTACAACGCTCAATTTAGCTTGGATTGATATTAATTTAATTGTAAATGACGCGTTTATTACGCTCTTATATGAGTTATTGTCAGATACAAAGCTTAGAATTGCCGCTTGTGAATGCTTGTCAGAGGTATTTTGCGTGTTTATTTGGATTTTTTTTGTTGAATAAATTATTGCATAGTGTCCTTATGATTATTTTTGGTATAGATTGTATATAAAGGAATGAAACCTGTAGATAAACTCAAATTGATTGAGTTTTTAAGTTTGACTAATATTATGGGAAATTTGGACTTTGTAAGTAGCATTAGATACATTTATATATTTTTTTTCTTTATATTATAAAACCAATTTCAAAATCGGATTTAATTTTTATAGACAGATATTGAATTTGTGGAACAAATTGCAAAATTAACTAATGTTTTAGGTGTAGAATTATGTAAAATCTGGGAAGGGGTATAAAGATTTTTAATGATTTACTAATTTGTTTACAATAATTTAATATCTTATGAGAAATTTCTAAGTCATTTCACATTTTAATTGTAAGGCGGACTCTGCAACAAAAACTGTAGCTTATAATCAAATAGAACTGTTACTTCCATTTTTATTGAAATTTTTGGCGAATGAATATGATGACGTTTCTTGTGCTGTATTTTCATTTGTATCATCTTTGCAGACTTTTGTAAGTCTTCAATCTATATTACTTTATTTATTTCCTAATAATTAATTTATATTAATTTAAAATTCGTAATTTTTAGTTTAAAAAGCAAAAGAGGCAAGTTGGATCTTTAACTGGAGCGCAGCTTGAATTTTTAGATTCATTACTTAAGGTGATTGTCATAAAGATGAAATATGACGATGAAACAGAATGGGAAGGAACAGAGGATGAAGAAGTGGAAGAAGCCGAATTTTTAGAGATGCGAAAGGTAATATTTCCTTTATAGTTAAACAAATTTTTTATGACAATGTTTTAATCCATAATTTAAAATTATTTAGAATTTAAAAACATTTTTTGATGCAATTTTTAACATCGATGAAAGTTTATTTACTTCCTACGTTCATACAGCTGTGATTAATACCCTAGAAAAGTATCAAATGGTTGAAAATTCAGTCGACTGGAGAGAACTCGAATTAGCTTTACACGTGCTACTTTTATATGGAGAGGCATATAAGGGGCAACTTGTTTTCGTAATGAAACATAATAATGAAATCGTCGCATTTACTCCTTTAGGACAGATGGTTTCAAGGATGATTCAATGCAGTAAGTATATGATGCATTAAATTTATAATCCAATGATAATTTACGCTTAAAAATTGATTTAATAAATATAAATTTATATGTTATTAGATGTTTCAACATTTCAACATCCAGCAATACCTTTGATATTTTTTGAAAACGTTGTACGATACTATCAATTTTTTGAAGCACAACCAGAATGTATTCCCACTATACTCGAAGCTTTTGTGGATTCGCGTGGATTACATAATAGTATTTTACAGATTCGTACTCGATCTTGGTATCTGTTCTATCGTTTTGTGAAATTGCTTAAATCAAGAATGGGACCATATGTGGAGAATGTATTGACAAGTATTCAGGTTGAAACGTGAATCAAAGACTTAACAGTTATAATGCAAAAGATTCCGAAAATCAATACTTACCATATCCCATCAATCTTTAGGATTTATTGGTAATACAAGCTGATCTTTCTTCAATTGACGTATCAGAAGGGGCTATAACAAGAGACCAAGCCATGGAAGGAGGATTTGATGATCAAATATATCTTTTTGAGACCGTTGGTACATTGATCACAGTCGAATCTATTCCTGCTGAGCGTCAAGCGGAATTTGCAAAGGTAAATTCATAATAAAGTTTGATAAATTATTTAATTTTCAAGTTATTCATAATAGTATTTCTTGATCATATAACAGATTGTTATAAGTCCTCTACTGGAAGATATTGAAAGAAATTTAACCACAGAAATGTCAGAGCCTAAAGATCTTAATGTACTTCAGCTGCATCACTTGATTATGGCAGTTGGTAGCATTGGAAAAGGTTTGAATTTCTTATCTTTAAAAAAAAATCTTTATATAATTTTCAAACTGAATATAATTTATTTATAGGATTTCCAGAAGCTCCAAAAAATGAGGCGCCAAATGCTCAGTGGGTTATATTACTCAAACAGTCTACTGAAGCTATATTAGTCGTGCTTAAAGCTTTAAGTCGTTTTGAAATCATCCGAGATGCCGTAAGTTAAGCAATTTATTTTTCTTAATAAGTTAAGATGATCTATTATTAATTATTGATAATATATATTATTTTTAGGCAAGGTTTGCATTTGCAAGACTTGTAAACATTCTCGGTGTAGAGGTTTTGCCTTATCTTCCAGAATTAATTACTGGATTGCTTAATGAGTGCCAAGTATCAGAATTATTGGATTCTTTGCCTTTTATTGGACTATTATCTTATAAATTTAATGTACGTTATTGTTAAACTTTCCATTATTTTTATCTGAGTTACTAACGAATATATTTTTATTAGCCATCGATTTACGATATTTTAAATGAGTTAATTGGTCCTTTGATCATTAAAGTTTTTTTTGTTTTAAATCAAACGCCATCTGGGACAGATGAAGCAATGCTATTATTGAATCTTCGAAAAGCATATCTTAGCTTTATATTAAGTTTATTAAACGGTGGAATGGATGCAGTCTTTGTTAGTGATTGTAAGTGTATTTTCTTTCACTTCCTTATATTGTAACCTCAAAGAATAATAGATCAAATTCTCATTGAATTCAATTGAAAGTAAATCAACCGCGCTTGGAAAACATACTTCAAAGTGTTGTTCATTACGCGAGTGATCTTGCTGATTTACCATCGGCAAGGACAGCCTTTAGTATCCTTTCAAAAACGGTAACTCTTTGGGGTAGTCCCATACAAACTTCAACAAATAACGTGGTATCGGTTGATTCCGGTCGATCCCTTCCCGGCTTTGAACAATTTATGTATGAGCATATATTGCGTATTTGTTTTGAAGTTCCGATGAAACGTTCATTTAGCATTACTGACGGACAATCAGTTCTGGTATATATAGCATATTTATACTTCCAACCATTTATAATGAAGCATTCAATTAATTTTTTTGCTATGTTTTGGTATAACTTAGGTTTTGAATGAAATACCAGGAATACTTAGGACTATGTATTCGCAACGAGGACATGAGTTACTTGATTATTTAAGAAGAGTTTGGTTACCACAAAATCTTGCTGATGAATTTGTACAGGCTCTACAACAATTGGATCAAAAAGGATTCAAAACATATTTTCGGGTATTTGTTAATTTTAAATTCAGGCGATCGGCTCATTATATATCATAATGGAAATTAACAAATGAATTCTTTTAATTATAGACATTTATTCAACGATCAAAATCATGAGAAATGTAAGGCTAATAATGAATTATTATTTGAGTACCATTAAAATAATAAAGTTGCTAGTTAAATTATGTATATTTTTATTTGACTGGATAATTATAGAGGGTAGTATATTCATTTAGTTTAGAAAATCTTGATTTAAAATCAAATAATATATATATTTTTTTGATTTTGTATTTTGTATTTTGCATATTATCAATTATAAAATTCAAAAACTCATTAATTTGTAAATTTTTTTTTTTATTTAATAAGATCTTTCCGCATTTTGTAGTAATTATTAGAGCAAACGCCCAATTGTGAACGTCTTATTTGACAACAAATTTAACCTAATTTTGTCATTTAAACTTAATTATAAAAGCGATGCTATGCAGTGAAAAAATTTTTTTTTTTATGTAGTCGCCTTTTGTTGAACATTAGGATTAATCTTTTTGCCATCCTTGTTATATCGAATTCTTGGTGGTGGAGCACGATTACGACGACCTTCGCGTGATCTAACTCTAACTACATGAGAGTGAATCGCACAAGAAACGCAGTAATGTAGCTTGATATATAATTTTGGTAGGGCGTATTCTTAATCAATTTTACAAGGTTGTTACCAACTTAGTAATAATTTATATGCGGAAATTAACAATTCAACAAAACTGTTTAAAAAAAAATACCTTGGTAAACAGATGCATCGGTGATATCACGAATAGCTGCACTCTCTACCATGTTACGAACAGTAAAACGTTTAATAGCTTTGTCCTATATATATATATATTCATTTATTTAAAAAAAATTAATTAGATTAATCAGATTAAAAAAATTAGATTAAAAAAAAATTCGACAATTTTCAGTTCTGTTATAAAAAAAGACTGTATTCGCCAATTGTGTGTACCTTTGGAACGCAGCGAGCGCAATTAGAACACCGCACTGGCTTGACATGACCACGCCCGTGCTTGTTACGTCCGTGATTTCTTCTTTTTGTGGTCTTAACGGTTTATAATTAAAAGATATTTTAAATATTTTATAAAATTTTTAATACCAATATCACAAAAACAAAAGGTTTAGAAGATTGTTAATTATGTTAATTATTCAAATACTCACCATCGTCAATCAGTACAATTGGATGGAAGTGAAAAGGAGGAACTCTGATTAAAGCGTTTTTTCGGTTTTTATGATTATCAAGTCATCGTTTAAATCACGTGCTTTTCTGTTAAATCACATGTTCTAATCGAGAGAAATCGAGTGGTCGTTGTATAACAAAAAAAAATTCTTCCGGCCGGCATTACGGCATTAAAAAATTAATATGGGAGTGTTGCCAGTGAATTTATCGATTTATAATAATTCATTCGTGACTATATCAAGGTAGTTGTTTCATGAGAAACGGGTCAATATTGACCGAGATCATACATTTATTTTTTTGTATTATGAAAATCATGTGATATAACATCAACTTTAGATCCAAATCGAAATGATTTCTTTCAGTTTTCAATAGAATGATAGAACAATCACTCTAAAGAAATGATAAAAGATAAAATATTGTTAAAAGAAAATGATATAAAAAATTGGTTCAAAAGAATGATGAATCATTATAAAATATTATACTGTGAATTATTGTTCTATTAAAATGATTCTTTTTATTATTCATGTTATATCATTCTATTAGAATAATACTTTTTATCATTCTTCTTTTAGAACATATATATTGTTTTATTAGAATGATTTTTTTAAAAAAATTGTTCCTTTTACTTAAGTTTAACTTAGATTTAGCTTGATAATACTATATATTTTAAATTGTATAACTAATTATATACTGAGGAAATACAAAAGTATTGCATAATTTTGATTTAGATATTTTAGTTAATTTATCATATGTAACTAAGCCATATTTTTTTAGTAACATATTACTTATCAATTACATAAATGAAATATTTTTATTATAATTTGAATTAATATGTTTTAATTCGTAAAATTGAATTTGAAAACACTTCTAAATTTTTAATTTAGTATATGTGATAGTATAATTAAAAGACTTATCTTTTAGAAAAAAAGGCAAAAAAATTGGGTTTAATAATTCAAAAATCATAAATATTATAGAATATCATTATAATTATTATTTGATTTCTTTTGCAAAAAAAACATCTAAAAATCAAATATTAAATCCAATAGTAAAGCTTAATACATGTAAAAAAATTGAAAAGTAATATATTTTTAAATTTTTGATTTTACATTTTACAATACTTTAATTTTAACAATTATTTTAAATATTTTATTAATCATAAGCTAGCCAATATATTACTAAAAAAATATGGTTCAGTTATATATAATAAATTAACTAAAATATCTAAATCAAAATTGTGCAATACTTTTATCCTCCTCAATATATTAGTAAAGTATTATTAATAAAATTAAAATCAAATAAATACTATTTAAATAAACAGATATATATTTTAAGTATCATCAAATAAAAATAATTAAAACTTAAAAGCTTTTTTTAAAATTTATTTTATAATAAATAACATAAATAATTAAAAAGAATACTTGAAAAATATATAAATTTCGCTAAAAATATATTATTATATTTTTTATCTTTTATTTGTTCAAAGTGTAGTTAAAAATATTTTACAGTTAAACTCAATATGATGTAAGGTTTGTCTATCTATACATGTAATCATCCAATACTTTATTATAATATCATAAGTTTTGATTTTCTTATTATATATTTACCGATCATTAGTATTACTTATTTAATTATTTTCAAATAATTATATACTTTATCACTATCTGAAATTACTATACTTTTTAATATATTGAATATTTTAATTATACTTAAAGTAATAAATGCATAAATTTTATAAAAAAGAAAAATTATATATGATTATATTAAAATAAAATTATTTAAAAATTCATTATTAAATCTAGAAAAAAATTTGGAAAAAGTGAATTTTTTTATTTTAAATCATTTCATATAATCAAATATTATCTATCTAATAAGATTAGTTGATCTAGATAAAGAATATTTAAATTCTTTATGATGTTAAAATATAGAATTAAGAATTATAAGAAATAATATTATAAAGGAAAAAAGAATCAACTATTATTTGATTTTTTAATGAAATATCAAGTATAAGTTTAAAACTAATAGTTTAGAATTAATAAATTAAGCTGTATACTAATTAAGTTTATATAGAAATATATTAATATAGTTATTTTTTTATAAATAAAATGGAAAAAAAAGTAATATTAAATGGATTTAAAATTAGAATAATCTAATTTTTAAAATATTAAATACAAATAATTTGGATTAAATTGGTCAAAAATAGAAGTAATAAAGGATTTAATCTATATAACTAAAGGTCATACAGATTATAAAATTTATCACTATTTAAAAGAGTGATAAGTAATGAGATCATAAATTTTGATTTGTATTTGAACAAAATTCTGATTAGAATATAAAACTGAATATACTTTATCTCTGAAAGAGAAATACATTATAATCTATATTCTAATATAAGGCATAATATCATATTAAAAATGTAAGATACAATAAGATCTCTCTAAATGCATTTTCTATAGTGCATATCTTTTTTATATATAAGGTTTGATCTAGTCTTAAGCTTATAACTTAAATACTAAATACATCTTCTATATTTTGCATATACAAGAAATTTCCAGTCTTTTTATATTACAAATTTATTCACTAAATGCATATCACATGACTATATATGATAAAAAATTTAGAAATAATCAATTTATTTAATAATAAATAGCAATGGTAATGATATAATATAAAATTTTAAATATTAGATAAATAGAAGAATTAATTATAAATCTAGTATTAGACAAGTAAATTTATTGTCATTATATCATAAAATTTATTAAAATATATGATTTCTTTAATACATATCCTCTTTAAATGCATTTTTAAGTTCAATTATACATTTAGAGATGTCTAACTATATTTGTTTATCTGTAAGGAATTTAGGTCTTATAATATTATAAAATTAGTAATTTTACTTATTACTTAAGTTTTGATATAACATTATGATTTTAAATAATTAATTCAGATATCTAAAAACCTAAAAAAATATCTTTTAGTAGAAATTAGTATATTATAAATCCAAAATTCAAAACAACTATAAATAATAAAATTTTATTTTTAATTGTTAAAAGCAGCTCTTATAAAATTATAAAAATATTATGCTGCTACAAGTATTGCTTCTAAGTTTTTCTAAATGATAATAATCTTATAATCTAACTTTTTTAAATAAGAATAATTAATATTGTAATGTAAAAAATTGTAAACAAAATTTTGTAAAGCAAAATAGCATCAAAATAGCTGGTAAAATTTGATCTATTAAATATAAGTAGAAGTATCATGATAAATATTATATAGGTCTAAAAATTTCTAAGTAAAAAACTATAAACTATATTATATTTTTAAGAAATAGTTTATTAAAATTAATGATCTTTTTGAATTAGCATTGAATTTCTTATCATTATTATATAAAAACCATTTTTTAAGTTATTATCTATTAATTACAAAAGCTTTAATTATACCTTTCTTGTTTTTACTTGAAAAGCTTATATATATACTGTAAAGTTAAATCTCTTAGTTTGATATTTTCTTATATCTATTATTGTTTAAAAATTATACTATATATTTTAATTATATTTTACTAATTAAAAGGCCAATATATAAAAAGGAACTAGTTATTGTATTCCATAAAATAATAAAATTAAGATCAGAAAAGTATCTGAAAGTTTGCAAAAATTTATGTTAAGTTTCTGTTAAAGTTATAAAGTTAGCATTTTTTAAATGCAAAGTTTCAAGAATCTTACTATTTTTTAATATTATCAAGTAAAAGTAAATATTTTATATAGCAAAAATGATTTCAAATTATCACTCTATATAGTATTTAAGTTATTATCTATTTATTTATTTTAAAGAATAATTTTAATATCTCAATTTTATATCAAAGAAAAGTAATTTACAGTTATAGAAATAAATATAATTAGGATTTCACAATTCGATTTGATATTTGAATATTTAATTTGAAAATCAAATCAAATACAAAATCAAATTTATATTTGATTTGATTCAGTCAAATTCAAATCAAGTATTAAAATATTTGATTTGATTCAAATCAATAGTAAAGCCATCTTTAAAGTTTCAGAAGTAGTTCTTACTAAAAAAATTATAGTAAAAAGCACTTTTATGGCTTTGAAAATACCTTTTTTACTAAGAAAACTATAGTAAAAAGCACTTTTGTGACTTTGAAAATACCTTTTTACTAAGAAAACTATAATAAAAAATACTTTCACAGTTTCGAGATGTTATTTTACTAAGAAAAATATAATAAAAATACCTTTATAACTTCAGAGGCGTTATTTTACTAAAGAAATATAGTAAAAATAATACTGCAGCTTTGGAGATATTTTTTACTAAGAAACTATAGTAAAAAACGCTTATATGATTTTAAAGATATTTTTTTTTACCAAGGAATCTAATAAAAAAATAAATCTATAGCTTCAGAAATAATTTTTACTAATAAAATAATTTTAAAGTTATAATAGCGATTATTACTAAATTTTCTTAGTAAAACTAAAGTTACAGAGTTGTTTTACTAAATTTTTCTTAGTAAAAATTTGCCTATTACTAAACTTACTTTAATAAAAGCTATCTTTAAAATTTTTTAGTGTATATTACTAATAATTTTTTAATTAAAATAAAGTTATTATAAAGTTTTAATATATCATTCTTAGGGTTTTGCAATTTGATTTGATATTTGAATATTTGATTTGATTCGATCAAATTCAAATTAAAGAATGATTTATTTAATTAAATCTAAATTAATGTTTGATTTGATTCAATCAAATTTAAATCAAGTATTCAAATATTTAATTTGATTTAAATCAATAGTAAAGCTATCTCCAAAGCT